TTCTTCCATTTTTGAACTGTATATGGAAATGCCTAAAAGAAACGACTCTATACAGTTTGGTTGACTAGCTATAGTAGTTTTCGAGATATGTACAAAAAAGTTAGTAGGGGCCGGGGCCACGCCCACTTTTCCAAAAAAAATTACGTCCAAATATGCCCCTCCCTAGTGCGATCCTTTGTGACAAATTTCATTTTAATATCTTTATTTACGGTTTAGTTATGGCATTTTATAGGTTTTCGGTTTCCGCCATTTTGTGGGCGTGGCAGTGGGCCGACTTTGCCCATTTTCGAACTTAACCTTCTTATGGAACCAAGAAATACGTGTACCAAGTTTCATCATGACATCTCAATTTTTACTGAAGTTACAGCTTGCACGGACGGACGGACAGACRGACATCCGGATTTCAACTCTACTCGTCACCMTGATCASTTTGRTATATATAACCMTATATCTGACYCTTTTAGTTTTAGGACTTACAAACAACCGTTATGTGAAYAAAACTWTAATACTCTCTTTAGCAACTTTGTTGCGAGAGTATAAAAAAAGATTAGCGCACTTGACATTTTTTCTGCTGGTAATGTTCAAATTAGGTGCGTAATCCTCTAAGATCTGTTCTGACTTCAAACTCTTTTAAGGAACTTTATAATAAAGGGCTATCCATTGTGATATAGATGGTGGAATATCTAAAAGTTCTCCAGTGAAAACAAGTGCAATTTATCACCATGCTTGGCCAATTGGAATTTTTTCAACATAAAAATGATTTCAAAAGCCCCTACACCCGTTTTGCCCTTCATTAACTAATGTATAATAACTTAAAAAATTAACTCAAATGGCGTAAGACGCATTTTGCTATTACTTCCAAATCAAAAGTCCGTGTAAAATAAAGCATCCATTGAAACACACACACAGACTGCAAGCAAATACTCGTTTTTACACAACGGGCGGTTAAGGGTTCTACCAATAAGATAGGCATATGTAAAGGTGAGCTGAGCTGAGAAAAAMTTGTAAGTTTAACTGCAGGGCAAAAGCAAACATATACAGAAAAAACAGATTAAAATCAAAACGTTCGCACTTTTGGTGCAACAACAAAAATAAGAAGCGAAAAACGAAGAGCCTCTAACTGTTCTGCTCATCTCAACGAAACCGACTTAGTTGTCCACGCATTTAATTTCTGTTTCTATTTTCGTCTGCTCGTATGTTCTTCCAGTTTCAAGGTTGAACAAGTCTAAAACCAGCAACCAAAAATTAAATTAAAATTAGAAAAACCAACAGAGCAACGACAAYATGATCTATGAAACAAATCAGAAATCTTTTAAACACATTTGATTTAGCTGAGCTCCGAAATTTTGCGACCCCTCAATCTAGCGCTGAACTAGCCAGTCAGCCAGCTAAACGGTCGAGCAGCGAGCCAGCGAATGAGGCAGTGACAGTATTGAAGAAGTCACTTTTTGRATTTTTGTGCGGTTGTTATTAAATACCAAGACAAATGCGATAACATAAAAGTCGCAGCAGCACATCTGAAGAAGATATTTATTAGCTTTAATTTTAATTTTATTAAAATGCTTTAAACTAGTTTATTGTGCGCTTCTACCCAAAATTCAATCAAGTTTACCTCGGGAGYCACCTAACTTTGAACAATATAACCAAAAATGAATAAAACACAGAAACAAAACTAGAAAAAAAATACAAAAGCAAACSTGTATGTTTAAAAACTTTATTCAAATTTTAATAGTTGCTAAAGCCATAGTCGTAGAAGTTTGAAAAAAAAACTTCGCAAATATTATAAGCAGTTTAGTCGTTGGTATTAAGCAAAAGCACAAAAAAAAATAAATTACATTTAGTAGTTGGTCTCACACAAATATTATTCCACACGTGGACACAGAAAGAAGGAAAAATCAGCCTTTGTGACGCACGCGCGGCTCAGCGAACAATAGAGATGTAAATCCCGAACAGTYACATATTATTCAATTATATATGAGCATATAGCACATACTATATCCAAATTGTTAAGTTCTTTTTCAGTTTATTCGATAAAAGAAACTTAATACTGTCCCCTCCCGCACTGCTTACTGCTATGCCTGTGTTTTTACTCAAATGTACCAAATGTACCAAAGTATGTTTAATATACTATCTTCTATCTCCTTCCATAGATTTGTCTCAGGGTAAGTACCTCACATTACAGATCACAGATCGAAACATAACTCCATTAGCCCCCTTYATACTGTTAAATGCCAAAAGTTCACGAGATCTGAACTGCAAAACGAACAATTTCATTTATTTTCTTCTACATTTACGAAAAGTACACAGAACACATCCTGCATCTACGGCTTAAGACTAGGACAAAAATATGTGGTTCAAATAAGTCTATCAAATCGCGCACATCTGAATGTTTTTAAATTAACTTTTTTTCTGCACGATCGTGCCTTTAAAAAGTCTTTAAGAYTACTCTACATACTTCCTTATAATTATACTATCGAAAACGTCAAAAATCTATGATCAACCCAGGAAGGAAATATTTCGAAGTGCCACATACTCTGCTTCCTATACCCTGATATGTGAATCACTAGCACATAAGTTCAACTTAAATGTGTTAATTTTCAATTTATTTCAAATTAAATATAATTAGTTAACATAAACATTAGCCAACTAGTCTGAAGTATTTTAAATGAAGCTAAGAATGAAGAAGGTCATTGAAACAACGTATTTTACTTCAACATACTCTATACATGTATATATGTACATATGTATGTATATATGTGCGCCAAACAGTAATTATACAAGTATAACATATTTATTCAGCAAATATCTTAAACGCTACCTCGCATTATTCAGCGATTAGGATAAGCCAATTTCGATTTTCCTCTAATCTGCTTTGTGTCACGAAAATTTTGCTGGGCATGTGAGTCTGCCGAGTCGCTCAGTTTTTGATATATAGATCCTGAAATTTTGAGCCAAAGTACAAAACCACAACCTCGGAGCACATTGTTCAGATCGATCCATCCAATCGAAGTTGCCTATATACGAGTAGTTTTTTGACCAACAACTACACCCCTATCAATTTTCATCTCCGTAGTCACACGGTTTAACTTCCCGAGTGTTTAAACTGTTATCGTAAGTAAAAATCAAAAATAAAAGACAAAGCATTCCGACATAGTTTAAGTTAAGTTAGGTAAATAGGCTAATATTCGTGAGACCACGAATAAAACCACAGCATTCATACATAATATCAATAATAAAAATACAATAAGAAGAACTCAAAGCAATAGAACTCACAGCACRTTCTGCTCATCAGAAGTGTTTTGAGAATTTTAAAAAGTATGACAAAAGCGTAATATCACGTTGAGCTTTCTTCGAAGAAAGTGAAATTGTATTTATTTACAGTACAGAGCTCAGAAACACTAAACATTTGAATATCTATCTAACATGGATGGAAATATGTTATTTTGGGATAAACAAAAAACAAATTAGAGATTAATTCTGAATCAAAGATAAAAAATAYTTCGGCTGCGGAACAGCAAAACACATTGAAATCGATATTGACAACGTAGATATSTTCAGTCGCATTCGAACTATCGGGGTCAAAAGCATTTTTTTGACAGATCACGCTTGAGTCGTGTCAAGCTGTCATTTATTTTTGTTCAGTATTGTTTGGCATTTCATCATAGAAGACTTAGGCCCGAACAGCGGTTATAAATCGTAATGATTATTATGAAAATTCACCTCCTCTAAAGGGACGCTCGCTCAATTTGGGGTCAACAAAATCTGAGCGCACTATTCGAAACACCATCATCCATCTGGAGACCCAGCATTTATTATTGGATAATATTCGACCGAATAGACCACGTTCAGCACATAGTGAAGAAAATATAGCAGCCCTTTCTGACAGGGTACACGAAGATCATGGAGTTTCGGAGCTGTTTGCAGTAACTCGCACTTTTGTGCGGAACCATCTGTGCCATCTCACGCATTTTACGACGAGATTTTAAATTTAAAGCGTACCAAATGCAACTTGTGCAGGAACTTCCAGGTTCTAAGAAAGTCCAACGTTTTCGAGCTAAATTTTGTTCAGCTTTGAGGCCCGTTTSTGGCTCAGTGGTTATATAAACGAAATATAAAATTGGGACGAAGAGGAACCTGTAGAGATTCAAGAGCTGGCAGTTCATTCAGAAAAACAGATGTWTGGTGTGGTTTGTGAGTGGATGATTATATATTATTATTGATATATTTCTTCARAAATAATGACGGTGAGCATCGTGAGATAGTGATAATGATAATCAACTATTTGACGCCTGAATTGAAGCTCGTGAACTGGGCGACTTTTAACAAGACGGCGCCAGTTTCCATACATCGCATCGTTTCACGTTGTGAGCCGCTCTATTGGTGCGATATCACATCATTAGACGTTTTCGTGTGTAGATAACTAAAGTTTAAAGTCTATGCGTGCAATCCCGCAACTATTCAGGCCTTGGAGCAAAACATCATGCGTGTCATTCGCCACTTACTAGTTGAAATGTTCGAACGAGTCATCGAAAATTGGACTCAACGAATGGATCATCTGAGCCGTAGCCGCGGCAAAATTGGAAAAGAAATTGGATAGCCTTCAAGAAATAAATGCCTAAGAAAATTATTTCGAATGATAATAAACATCCACTATTAAATTTGAAATTTCTGTGTTCTTTCTTTAAACAAKTAGGAAACCTCGAAATAGAAAACCCATTACACGGTTTCCATGCTATTGAACAAATTGCGGTAAAAATCAAAATCTGATTTTGTTTATGTGTTAAACGCACGAAAAACTGGAAATATATTTATTTGCACATCGTGACAGGCATAACTAGTTAGCGATAGAATAGCACAATAAAATAAGACAATTCAAATTCAAAACCGAATGTGTTCAAACACAAATATGATAGTATTTATATTTCCGTGCATTTGTATGTGCATATGAGGACTTCATACTTACTAACATTTCTGCAATATATTAAAAGGCTTTCAGCACATTTGTTTACAATGTCTTTCATTTGATTTTATTTACTCAATTTTAGTATACATAATTCCTAATATTATTTTTCGTTGCGTTCTTTAGTTTGCGTAGCCAACAGAAGTGCGGCTGTTGGCTTCACGCAATACTATAAATTCAAGATACAGATGGTGGACGCGGGCGCACTTTAAGGGTTCATAACTATTTTCCTTTTTGTTGATAAAACTTATTCTCGGATACAAACATGTTACTTAATTTCRATTAACAATTGTTGCCACTCGAGCCTTAACTTCATGACTCTAAATAATTCAGTGCGCTTTAAATATGGCTTTTAATTATTTGCTTTGCATACTTTTGTGCGCACCGAAGCTAATTTTCCTTATACTTTCTTTAAATTCATTCCTTAATCTTACATTCTCTTATTTCGTATCTCTTTTACGAATAAACACAATTTCTCTTTAGTTTTGCTTAACAGTTATTTACTTCTTAAAGTCCTCGGCAGCGCTCGCGCCTCCAACCGCCCTTTTCTTAAACTATCTATGATCAAGGAGATTTTCATTCGTTAATTTTAATTACTTATGCTACCGGGTTAGTCGTTTTAATCTGAACTCTGCAGTTAAAGCTTATACAAAATATCAATTCATTAATTTAAGTTTGGTTAAATATTTACAAAGTTTTTTTTTTTTCAATTGACCTTAAGTAAAAGAGAGAATAGGACTCTGCGACAAGTATTGGAATTCAATTTGGAATTGTCTAGGTGTTTATATTACACTACTACAACTACAATTACTAAATGTCTGATTATTACTAATGCATTACTACAATAACTACAAAGTAATTTTTATAACGAATTTGTCTTGGGTACGGAAAAGTCTTTTGTTGTTGGTGTGTATTAAATATTTTTACGTCGATGCTTCGTCGTGGCAGCAAATGTGTTTGGCGCTCACAACTCCGTGGAGTACTCCTGCGGATTCACCGTGAACTTCCGCCAGCAGATGTGGTCCGCACTGCCATTGGCATTGTGAGGTGGCAGTTTGCCGCCAGCGATACCTGCTACGAGGCCACCGCCGCCCACACTCACGATCGAGTGTCGGTTGTGTTCGGCCATGCTGGTGCTGGAGGASCGCTTCACGTAAGCGGCGCCGTTTGGGCCACTTGCACTGACGCGGCTCATCGGATTCCGCRCGCCGCCATTGGCTGTGATGGCATTCGAGCTGCCGTATGTGATAGACTCGTTTGAGGGTGTTATTTCGATGCGCGTCGCATGGCGACCATCCTCAGAAAGTCGGCGTATATAGACTATCTCACGATGCTTGTCGGCGTTCGCGTTGTGCGCACGCATGGCGTGCACGTGGCTGGGAGGTGGTGGTGGCGGGCTAGGCAGTGGCTCATCGTCAAGCAGCTGATTCTGATATTGTCTGTGTTGATCCTTGTATTGTTGCTGTGGTTGTTGTTGTTGCTGCGTATTGGAACGTTGTTGTGGCTGAGCGCGTGAGCGATTTGAATAACGCAGTGGCTTGCCATCACTGTTCTGGAAGGGCATAAACTGTTGTGAAACACCAGGAAACTTATCGACGCTAATGTCTTCCTCAATCGCGGAATCACCGAACATTGAACCACTGTAGTTGGGCGAACTGTTGCCGGTTGTAGATTGCTTCCAGTTCTGTTGCGCGGCGTGACCGTTCGCATATTTGCTAGAACTGGAATATTGTCCTTTCTTGATGGAGTGCGTGTAGTCGCGAGTACCTCGTCGGCGAAGCGTGAAATCACGTCGCCCAGTATCTTGGCACACCGAACGCCATTGCTTCCAGGCATGGCGAGCTAAGGGATCGGTTGGTCCCCACTCCTTCGCCGATTTTGAGGCCTCGCAGATCATGCCGAAGAAATTGTACTCAACTTGACGGAATATCTGCACACAAGCTATTATAAAGATCACGGCTAGCGCGAGTAGAATGGGTGCCCAACGTGGTACGTACTCCGCMAGCAGATCGTACTGATCGTCGTCCGAACACCACCACACCAACAACGCTGTGAGTATGGCTGGGCAAATGCACCACATCCACATCCAGCCTTTGAAGATCGGCCGTCCAATAGAGAATTCCAAATCAGTGTAGATATTCTTGACGCCATAAATCCAACTGATCGCAATCAACTCGAAGACAAGCGCCGTAATTAAGATTGTGCCCACGATACGCGTATCCAAAATGCGCGCAATTATGAATTTCGGCGCGGCCAGCGATATGATCGTCATTACGAGCGCCACCAAGCTGATGACGTAATTCGGATGGCGCGGCACCAACCGTGTGACCGTGTAGATGGATACCRTCATTGCCACAATAGCGGAAATAACGATCAACGCATAAATTAGTACGGGTATAATGCGTGCGATAAGCTCGTTGCTGGGGCGATCRTACATAATGCGATCGTAGACAGCCGTGAGTGGCTTGAGCTCCTCAATCATGGATCCACTATTCGCCGAGAGGTCGAATTGTACCATAAATAAGGTGACAGCAATTGCATTCACCAGCAAGTTGAAGCAAAGATAAACGATTGATGTGCGCACGGCATCGCCTTTGTACAGAAATTTCCCGGTGACTGCGGGCAAAGCGCCAAAGCCGCAGTTTGTGGCGAAAAGTACCTGCATCAATGCATTGAACCAGATGTTGGAGTCCATGAGTAACGTCGAATCGAACGGCCAGAGCTCGGGGAAGTATGAACGCTGGAACGAGTTGTGCACTTCCCAGCCGGTGAGGCAACACAGCAACAGAAAGCCCAGTATGCCGAAGAARAAGAGGCTGCGACGCAGGAAGCGGCCATTGTGCGTGCTGTGGGAGTAGGAATAACAAAAAATTCAAAAGTTTTAATTGGAGTTTCATATTCATATAGATAAAGGTTAAAGTTGGATGTGTTTATGTACGCACTTTTAATATCAATCAAGGAAGATTCTGACTGACAAGTTGCTAAGATTAAATGTCAGCTACAAATACATACACATGTATGTTTGTTTTGATCGGTTGTTACTACGAATGAAAAATGGCTTATGACGTCAGTTGAATACATAAATTAATGTCAAATTCGAACAACAAACAAGTTTGTAATTAAAACGTAATTAAAAAAAAAAAAATCATTGAATTGTGTTAGCGGTAAAAGCATAATTTTTATGTTTTATTTGACTGACAGAAAACAGAAAGAGAATTGGCCAATCGCTTGAGACAATGAAAAGAAGAATTCACCAAATTGACACACACCATGGACGCGGGCGTGTGAAAAGCAACAAATATAAATAATTTTTTAAAAATAGAAAAGTAATTAAATAGCCGCGGATTTATAAAATTTAACAAGACTTATGTCAAAAGGAAACAAAACAAAAAATATTTACATAAAATATTAGCTGGGAATATCCAAATTAAGATGAAAGATTATGCGGATGTATCAATAAAATATGCAAATGACTTGCTGAGAGTAAAGTCTATGAATGTGCACGTGTGTGCAAGTGTGACTACAATAACACTAAAAATGTAAATTTATTTGCGTGTAAATTGATGTTACATTTGAGTATTTAAATTACATTCATGTCTAATTAATTGATTTGCATATGAATCAAAACATTTCTCACAGATAGAAAAAAAGAGGTACAATCTTCTATAAGATTGTATAGCTGCTGGCTTACGCCAATAATCATTGGCCTCAACAATCACGCCGTAGTTCTGCTTTCTCCAGACTAGAGAGAAGCAAACGGGTCTGGTAGTGAACGAGGGCAAGACCAAATATCTCCAGTCAGAACAAAGAACTAAACTCTATAAGTATCTCTCTTTATTCTCGTTCTATGGTGCAGAGGCTTGGACAATGATATCATCTGATGAGTCAGTTAGGGTTTTCAAGAGAAAGGTTCTGCGAAGGATTAATGGTCCCTTGCGTGTTGGTCACGACGAATAGCGTATTCGATGGAGTGATGAGCTGTATGAGATATTCGATGGCATTGACAAAGTTCAGCGAATTAAGAGACAGTGGCTACGCAGGCCAGCTCATGTCGTCCGAATGGACGAAGACACCACTCCAGCTCTGAAAGTATTCGAAGCAGTCCCTGCCGGGGTAAGCATGGGAAAAGGAAAGCCTCCACTTCGTTGGAAAAACCAGGTGGAGTCTTCTCCTGGCTTCGCTTGGAATCTGTAATTGGCGCCAAACAGCGAAAAGGAGGAACGCCTGACGTGCTGTTGTAAACTCGGCTTAACCGCATCAATAAAGAAGAAGAAGAAGATTAATATTAAAACATATAGCGAATGGRTTCAGCTKCATTGTTCGACGAAAASGGAAATATTTCACCGAATATATATTGTATAYTTCAAAGATTGGCCGATTGGGTTGTCATATTCGGTATCTGAGGGCTTCACTAGTTTTGGACCAATTTTGACAATTTTTGGCCATAAGTGGCACACGCGTTCTTAATTTGTGTACTGGAGCGATGATCAAAACTGTCAGGGTAGTTTTTTTAGATTAAAGTTTTGGTTGAAGATAGTCTAGAGAATGGTAAGTAGGTAGGTGGGAGGAGTGCCGCTATGTTGTATTTCGGGCTCAACTAGCACCAGCTGCGCCATTTTGATGCACTAGTCGTTGACCTTTTTGTAGATAAACATTCAAGGTTCGGTGCTTGATGGATTCCAAGTGTGCTATGTCGGAKCTGCGATAGGATTGGGCATTCACAGAGAAWGTCAAATTTTTGTCTTATTTTGCCGTCTCGGCAGATGATGTTGTAGGTSATACCCATTTTAGACGCATGTTCTCCAAATGGACAATGCCCTGTTATGGTAGCAGTTAGTCTTTAGATACTTTTTCTGGACCTATTTCATAAGCCGTTAGTTYTTTTCTTRTCATATGTGGGCCATAACTGTTTAGTTATATTATTCCATCCAKTTATAGTTTGYTAATCGTTGAAATTGTAAATTGAGCTCTCTCCTGATTGATCCTAACCGGCTTGGCAGAGCTAATACCAACATACCTCGGATTCGTMCAGAGAATATTATGACCGAATTTTTTGACGGACTTGGAATAGCTCGCTGCTTGCCTACATCTATTGAAACAATACAGAGCTTTGTCTTAAAGAAAAAGTGCCAAACTTTGATCGGAGGTGAGCTCACTTTAAAATAATTGAAACGTCATTGCAAAAAGCAAAAGTAATCATTTTCTGTTACTTGTTATTAATGGATATTTAACTGCATATTTCAACACACCTAATCAATTAGAGCATGGATTTAAGCAAATGCTAACAAATAATCTTTAGTTCCTCTTCCTCTCAATCGCCGGCATGACATTCTGGCAGTCATCAAWTAGTTAAGTTAARTAAGCAATTAATATACGTTTCGCTAACCAAATACTCACCACAACATGACCACAATCCAAATGCCGATCAGTCCAACGGCCAGCATGCCGAAATACATGGGATTCTCCCAGAACGGCGTTAAGAATGTACGCTGCAAGCATTCTTGCCCGCTGTTGCCTGTCACTGTGTAGCCATTCTGAATGATTGGAAGAAATAAAAGAACAACAAATTAAACCAAAAGTATTATTAACCGCAAACGTGCGCAAATAACCGTAATAAAAATTCGATAAATTTGTGAAATGGTCAATTAATCACCGCTGCAGCCAGAAATGATTTGTTCGCACAATTAGTCACGGTCGCAATCAGCGCGSGCCCATTTAAGGCGGCAGCGTGCCAGCAACATGCCGGCTTTACTACGTGCTAACACAGCAATAACAACTTACCAGCGCCATCTTCACGTTGCCCACACACTCCCGAAAAGGCAGCGTATTGACGATGAACATGCCGATGTAGGCCACTGCCAAGACCGCTTGCAGCGATACCCAAATTGTCGACAGCCATGAAGCGAAGCGGCTGATGATGCAGGCGCCTGTGGAAGTGAATAGAGAAGAACAGAAAAGCAATGAGCATTACTATAATTATAAAATGCTTTGCAAAAAACCGACGCATTTTCGAAGAATGATATTTTTTTGCTGATGAGCTTATGTTCGAAAGTGCTAACAAATTAAATTACAAATAAAACTATATTCAGCTAAGCAGATATATGAAAAACAAAACATTGGTACTCGAAAAAGGATTTTCGTAGTTTGTCAATAAATGTCGTTGCAATCGTATTTCTCCAGTGCTACAAATTTCATTGTGTCATAGGAAAGGTGAGATTTTAAGCTTCATTTAACCAAAAAAAATTAAATTCGGGGAAGTTCAGAAAAAGTTACAACTGTTCAAAAATGAGTAAAAAAAATAATGAAGAAATTCGCTATATTTTGAAATTTTTGTATAGAAAGGTATAGAAGAGGTCAAGTTTACGTAGACGATGCTGTATCAGTTCATGTGGCACAATAATGGTTCCCTCGCTTCCGTTCTAAAAATTTCTATGTGAAAGATACACCTCACTCTGGTCGAACTATCGTTGAAAATGTCGATGAAATTATGGAAAAAGATTGGCCAGCACCGTCACATAAGCAGCAATGGCATCTCTAAGGTACTTAACATTCGTCATCCAACGGTTTCGAAAAATTTTAAAAAGGCTGACTACAAACAGAAGCTCGAAGTTTAGGAACCAAATGAATCGTCTGTGAGAAATTTAATCAACGATTCTTTGTCAAAATGAAATGAAATCGAACCATTTATGAAACGAATGGTATCAGGAGACGAAAATTGGATCAAATATGACAATAATGTGCGAAAAAGATAATGGTTCACACGTGGTGAAACTCAACAAATGGTCGCAAAGCCAGGATAGACGCCTCGAAAGGTTAGATTGGAAAGGAATCGTCCACTATGAGCTGTTCCAGCCTGCTCGAATGGTTGATTCTACATTTTACTGTCAACAACCGATGAGATTGCAGCAAGCAATCGAAAAAAACGGCCAGAACTGATCAACAGAAAGGGATTCGTCTTCCATTAGGACAACGCTAGACTGCACACATTTTTGATGACTCGAAAAAAACTGGAAGATCTAGGTTGGGAAGTTTGCAGCATCCACCATATAGCCCTGACCTWGTACCATCGGACCACCATTTGTTTCGGTCAATGCAGAACGCTCTTAATGGAGTAAAGGTGGTTTCAAGAGAAGTCTGAGAAAATGACTTRCCGTAGTTTTTCAGCGAGAAACCAGAAAAGTTTTACACGAATGGACAAATTGGTATATATTCTATTCATTAAAGTTCATTATAAATAAAAAGAAATAAGTTGAAGTTTGATTAGAAACACGATACGAYGAAAACATTTTCGACTACCCAATATTTTGTTGGAACATTTCAACAATTTTGACTC